CACACATTACTGCCAACAAAACGTATATTAAATTTTCCATAGTTGGTTCTTACTTTTGGAAGGGAGTATGACGATCTCGAAGCAAGTCTGGTGTTATATTTATGTTTCTGGCTTACTAGTGCAAAATACTCATCAAATATACGTGAGGAAGTTTACCTGTATGAAAGTCATACATGAACAGTGCATTATGATAAAAAAATAAGGTCATGAAACTTGAGAAGTCGAAGTTGAATGAATAGAGGGTTAGTATGATCCTGATAGTTAGAAAATGTTATTAAACGAATAATCTTTATTTGTAAGATAGCTAAGGGATTCGCTGTTGTTTTGTACGTGTTACCCGCCAAGCACTATTCGGAGCTAATAAATACACTTTTGCCCCAATGAGCATTGCTTCCTCTTCCATGTTTACCTGTTTTGGCATGGCAGACACACATGAAGGTTATATGATATATCCTCATGGGCATGTTTTGTGCATCAATATATGTTTCTCTTTGATCTTGATCCCAATCACAAACCTATTAGAACGTTTATTGCAGTCTGTATTATAATTTTTGTATTTTGAAGGTCTGGTTTCTGTTGACATAAATCCAATTGTCAGTGGTTTGTTGACTTTGTTATTCTCCCACGTTTGAGAGTCTCCGTACATGCACAAAATACTAGAATCTTTCGCGAGGGCAGATAGTACCCCCAAAATGGCAGATTTTGGCCTTCATGCCAAGAAAGGCTAATCGCTTCATCTAAGCCCAAGGGAAAGTGGGTAAGGGACTCTCGTACCTATCATTTGTCGTGATGAATTCTGTGTATTCAGAAAATTCATCATTCTATATTACTATATTGATATTCGTTTTCACATAATCACATTTATACTTGTACATGTTTAAAGTCTCAAAAACAAGAACTTGAACCATGCACAGACTTTCCTTGTCATTCTAAGACGTACTAACAAACAGCAAATTGTGTTCAGTCTAATCAGTCAGGTTTGCATGTTTTTCCAGTTCTTGTTTTTTTCGGTTAAATTATCTTTTGAGTTTTAGCGCTGTTTTACCTAAAATATTTATTAATAATATAAGGTATATAAGCGGAAACTGTATGTTGTATTAGAAAAACTATTGAGCATTGTAATTTGTATTCAGATCAGTTTTGTGTTCTCAAATTAGGACAAAGTCTGGTATTTGTTTGAACTTCATAGATATATGTGCAAATGCAATTTGACCATGTTGCCGTAGGTAACTTCGAAAACATCTCCTCTTCATCTCTTTACCCTTTTGGAAAAACTTTTCTTTGGACTTTGGCTGATCCGTCGTTTGAAATAATGAAAGACATGCATAGGGGAATAAAACGAGCTGAAATGGAACATGGTGAATTCTAGTCACAACAAACTTGTCTCGCTTAACATTCTTGTTATTCCTAGACCTAGTGTATTTCGGTAAACAATCTGTGCATGTGTATTATTTGCATTCTGTACTGTAAATTTTGTATTTCAAAGATCTGGTTTCTGTTCTCATAAATCCATACAGTTGTCAGGTTGATCTTGTTATTCTATATGTAACTAAACAAACAAACATATTTTTAAAATAATTTCAATTACCCCATCGATGCCAAGGACCTTGTATCTGTCATATAAAAGACATTATATGCGATGAATTATATGTCTATTCTGAAAATTTATGATTCTATATTACTATTGATATTCGTTTTATTTCACATTTATACTTGTACACATATTTAAGGTCGAGTTTTGACTGCTAAGGCGCTTCAACGTATCGTTATTTTGAGAGTATTGACTATACAGAACACTATACCTATATGTACCACATCCCCCGCTTAGTACGCAGGCGCAAAGCTTTCCTAAGAGTAAAGAAACATATTTATTGACATAACTGATAAGGAAAGCTAAGCCGATTTCAAAATATTTGCTGGTATGAACAGTAAATATTTTTGTGGTTTGCAAGTAAACAAGCAGAAAGAAGGGCGCGGGATCACCTGCTAATTTCCATATCGAAAGCATAAAAGTGGAGTGTTGGACAAGCTGAACTCAATTCCATTTCGGAAATCATACGAAGAAGACTCGAAAGAAGTATTTGAAGTGAGCAAGATAAAGAAGTCGAAGATGAAGTTTGGCATTGTAATTCTCGTTGTTTTGGTGGTCTGCCTGTCTCCATCGGGTATGTATAACTATAAGTTCAGGTGTAAACAGATTTTCGTGCTGACGTGAGAGGGTATAGGCATGGCCTGAGTTTGCCAAATTTTTGTTACTAATGCGTAATATACTACATGCACTAAACTTTTACCTCTGTTTTTTTGGTCTTGGAGCTATATCAACACCATGTTTATAAGTGTAGAACTGAACTTAAAGCTAAAGGGTGTAAAGAGTAACGTTTTGAATATTTTAGTGAATGGCGCAGAAAGCGATGTGGTTCGTATTTTTAATGACAAACTGCGTCTCACTAATAAAGAGATGCAAGATTATCTCAAGCAAGCTGACCTGGAACGCTATGGATTCACGAAAACTGTCGAAGTCTCCACTGAAACCGACGAAAACGGGAAGACAACCACGAAGAAAACCATTTACTACAAGGTCACTGATGATTGCTCTAGAGTCATGTTTTGGGAAGGAATTTTGGAACAACGCCTGCCAGAGGAGCTGCAAGCTTCGAAGCTCTCTTCAACAATTGTCAAAGAAGTGAAAAGTCGCATTGCTGGCCGCAAGACAAAAAGCTGTACAGTGATGTTGGAAATTCATCCAAAGCGATGTCTGAAGAAAATTCCCGACAATGGGGTGAGCAAACGTACAGCTCATCAGTGTAATTGGTGCCTAATCTGTTTTGCTGCGTCCATTCGGTACGGCAAATAATGTTCGATGACTTAAATCTGGACTGAAGCCGAAAAAAGTATAGACTATAAGTAGTGACTACTATTGGTAGACTCTCAACTATATATGGCAGACTCTACTATATGGTGTTGTTATATAAGGTATATTGTAGCTTACGTGTGATTTAATAAAACGATTGAAATAGCATTAATTGTTTGCAGTGTACTTGTTTTCCTGGGCCTTGCCCTTGGGCTTTAATTTTTCAACTGACATATCAGAGACACCGTTCCATTAAACCAATTGATCCTATTCCTAGATCTAGTAATCTTACTCCGTGAACTGACTTGTATAACGTATAATAACTTTTAAACTTTTTTTTAATCCTGACAAGAAAATCAACCCTAATCCTATAAAATATCATGCAAACAAAGTTTTTTCCTAACTTGTAAACTCACATTTTTGATAGAATGAGGAAGAGAAAAAACAGTTTATCGCTCTTTCCATTTCTAACAAATCCGCAGTACTGATTATCTGCCAAATTTCGTGAATTTATTCTAAATTTAAATTTCTCTGTTCCACAATCTTCTTTGGCAGTTAATTGTGTTTATTCGTTTTTAATAGGCAATTCCCATTATAGCTGAGCATCATGGGAAATGTGGTAGGCTTCACTTGCACGCGAAATGGCCGCCGCGAAGCGAGCATTTTGCATGCGAGAGAAATTGCTTTATTAAAGTACATTTTTTCCAGAGTATTATAGTTTAAATAAAAGTAATGTGTTTGTATTACAT